TTTCTTTGTGATGTCTACCACCTCCTCGACTTTTCCCAACAGAGAACGAACATTGCTTGTTAAAATGAGAGGAATTTGCATTTGACTAGTGCTGCACTGTCTGANGAGCGACTTGCCAGCCTGCTCGATGCTTTCTCTTTCCGCCGTTTTGTGTTTTGATCATCCGCTTGAATTTATTTCTCACATTATTGGAATATTTCACAAAAGCTGCAGTTCGCGCGATAACACATAACGATTTCGTGAACTTGTTCTTGTAGGATAGCATTTCGTGTCCTTGAAATTGATAACAATGCGATTTGATGAAGAATAAATCCACAAAAGTGTAAGTATGATTTTTCGAGATAAATGACGCGGCCGAATTCAAAGCCTAATTCGATCGCCCATTCCTTTAGATTCGTTTGTTCGCTTGGATCCAGGTCTGAGCGATCACATTTTCCGCATTGTGGTTGGAGATTCAATTGGTTACTTTCGGGCATCTTTTTTTGTGATTGATTCACTTGATTATTGTTTGGAGTAGGCAATTCACCTGCTTCCGTATTCCGTTTCAATGTTCCTATCGAGTTATTTGTCTGATGTAGCCGCATTTTATCAAATTTGGTGGAACAAATTTAAGTAGTGAGTTTGTCAATAGAATACTGCGCGAGTGCTGACAAGTTTGAGGAAGTAGATGTCCTTGTGTTTGAGAAAAAGGTTTCGGAAATATATAGCTCAGTTGAAACCTAGTTGGACGTGTTTGATACGAATGGCTTCTAAATTTGGACTGAGACGGATGAGGAAGAAATAAATACAGCATTCTGGCGCTTTTATTATTATTATTTTTTTTTTTTTGGGGGGGGGAGGTTCGTGGGCAAGAGAAGCAGGTCGATCAAAGGTTTTCAAGTGGGACAGATCATTGTTGTCGGTCATGCAGGAAGGATACAAATAAGCGCTACTAATGAGAATGAGACATCAACCCCAAGTACTGAAGTGGAGATTGGTTCTGTGCTTTGTGCAACAGAGGAGGGTGAACAGATGAAGAAAAGAGCCATTTTATCAAAACTTTCTCCCGATCAATGGCCTTTGGAGATCTGTGAATTAGGTGTCTAGGCTCTTATCAAAGGTGATGTTCTGGTTGAGTGTGTTGAGTTCTGCATAGCCAGAAAACAGAGACGTTTGCAATATGGAGGCGATTTCACACCGCCTCCGACTTGTGGTCACATGATTGGTCAAAACGGGTAGGTGAACGTTAGAACGAACAAATTGAAGCACTTCAGACATGTGATGTAACCTGGTTCGGTTTGCTTACATAATTCCGATGCGTCGAAATACGTCATTCCGGAAGAAACTCGATTGTGTCCAAGAATAAGACAATAAGACAACAAAATGGACGACAAAATTCAAACGGATGGTTTCCGGTAAAGAACTAAATCAAACCACCAAAGGTCCTCGGTTGGGTTGATTGAGTCGTCCAAAATAGGCTTTCACGTGAACATTCTGGAAAAAAATACTTCGATGTTAGGATGATGTCGAGATAACACAGTCAGTTTACAGCCCAATCAAAAGAAAACAGGTGGACTTTGACCCACCTGATCTAAACCTTGTTGAGTGGTCCACCAGGGAAATCACAAAATACATTCCATTTTCGGAATGGCGTTAGCATGAAAAGAGGGATTTTTCAATGGTATTTAGTTCACATCGGCCGATCTTCAAAACAATTTATATTTATTTATCTTTCATCTTCATCGAAGACCATGGCGATCCGAATAGGAATGCTTAAGTGCTCGGTCGATGGGAAGTTCTCTAAAGGTAGAGCAGAAAGAGTTCTGGAATCATTTCCTGTGCAACATCCAAATTTATGATGTTAGTGAATGAAAATACCCTACGTACACATCACTTGCGGGTTTTATACTTTTCTATTGTAACATTTGCTGTTCAGCTTGCGTGAACGTGGTTCATCACCATCTTCTGGTTTGTTGGGCACCCACAATTGTACATGCACTTGTTATTCCCATTTGACTCGAACCTCATTGATTCATCTGCCACACAGGTAATCGACCAAGCATGGGCTTTTCACTACCGAGATTTCTCCAACTATGTGGAACAGTTATTCGGTGCTGGTTTACTCAACACAAACAGTCCGTGGTGCTTGAATTTCTCTGCATGGTTTATCAACTCCGTGGCATTTGAGGTGGAAAACCGTGCGGAACATGTGAATTTACGTTGGGGTGATTTTCGTCTCTGTCAGACAACTGACGGTAGGACGGAATACCTATATTTTATCAATCGTGTCACCCATCGGGCCTACTATTTGGCCGCGTCGGACAACACCTCGTACAACTATTCGAGGCCGATCGACCCGAATGACGCAGGAACAACTAACAACACTCGAGTTCCGATTCGTAGTCCATGTCCAGTAGCTGTTTTTAAGGCTTTGCGTGATCATCGTCCTCTTACTTGTTTAGATCCTTATTCGAAATTCTATTTACAAGTAAGTGATCCGTACTGCTTCATATGTGTTTCTCTGACCTATATTCCTTTCTTTACCATTCTGTACGACGAACACGGCGGTGGCCAGTAACATACTTACAATACATTTGTATTGGTTAGATAAGGGGTCTTTTTTGATGGAAGGAAAACGAAAGAACCGCTATGGTCACCACATAGTGCATATTCCAGCTATGCGTACACATCTCTTCAATTGTTTTGGTCTAATTAGCAATGAGAACGGGACCCCCACTGCTGTCGATGTACGTCATTCAGTGTATAACAGAAAGGATTTGCAACAGAGGCGGGACTTGAACACACAACCTCTGGATCGGTGTTATAATGGCCCCGAACCCCTTAAGCACCACCCCTCATAAATTGATAAATGCATTATTCAACTGTTCTACTCTTTGTCACTCGAGGTGCCGCAGACAGTCTATTTCTTCGCCTCATTTCGATTCAGGGTGCAACGGCATCCATCATAACACTCAAGCGCTAGCACTTGGTCAGCGCGAATTTGAATAAGATAGTGGACTACTGTTCACCGTTTATTTTTTAGTGTTTTCGTGTCAAGGTCATCTCACGAAAGTTTGTTTCTGTGAGCGCTCTGCGGACTGCATCATAGCTTCGTATATCTTCTGACCGTGACCTCTAACGAGCAAGCACCTATTTACTGTGCTTTAAGTCTGGATGACTGACACCTATTGTATGTTAGTTGTGTGCTGCGCGATTTTATTCTACTGACAGAACTTTTATGGAGTTCCTCTATGCTTAGCAAACAAACCACTTTATTGTTTGTCTGTACCATTCTTGGTCGTCAGTAAATAAACTGAAAGATGTGTATTTGTTGAACCCAAGAGTACAGCGATGACACGGTCACAAAGATCGGCTCCTCTTTATTTGTGTCACTTTTTATCGTGGTGCAGTCTTCATATTGCGTATGTATTGAATGCAGCAGGACAACACCGTACGATTCGGACATAACCTCAAGCAATCTAAACTTGCAAGTTGCATCTTAGGAGCCCTGGATCCGTCTGACCGGACGGACAGTGAGGTTCAACGAACTGCGATTTTCCATCACCGCTCGATGACTTTGCAGATGAGGCCTTGACAAACCGAGAGTACTGGTTATGCATTCCTAAAAAAATACCATCGAGTTTATATTGTTCATCCTGTGATTGCTTGAAAAATCACGTTCCCGCGTGTATTGTCATTTGGATCAGGACCTGTGTAAAAGAGAGTTACATTTACGTTCCCTTCTGCAGAACGCTACTGTGTGTACATTGATTGAACTGGTGAACTACATTTCTCTAAAGAGCACTTCTGGTAGCTGATCATGTTTGATCTGTGGAGTCTACTGGGGCCCTCAGTTGCGGATGTCAGCGATTGTTCACGAAGCATTTGTTGTCCGCCGTGGGTCCCCGAATTGACCGAGGTAATCGAAAAAAGTATCAGCAACTGATCGGGAAAAGTTGTGATAGATTATTGTGTTGATAAACGTCTGCGTGCATTCCGGTACGTGTTTATCCACAGTTCCTCGATCCAACCCGCAGGTTGGCTTATTCGGAAGTGGCTGTCCTATGTGATTTAGTTCAGCTCAACTAATGTTTTGTGTTCATGAGAGCAAGCACAACTCACGGGTACCGGATATTTGAAATATGCACAGAATATGTGATTTCCATTGTTCTTTGTTGCCTGCCAAAGTATACCGTTTCTCGCAGATCAGACTTACTTATTAAAGCAAATTCGATGTGGGTTAAATACGATCTTCACACAAAACGCTAAGTTCATTCAATATCACTACTGTTAGTTACTACCGATAGAGGCTATTCAGTCAGATTCAACTTTGTTTCTTTTCGTCAGGGAAACTCAAAAGAGTCCGTTTTACGAGGTTTTCTGATTGTCCAACCACAACTTGTTTCATTGTATAGAGATAAGTGCAGTGCGTTTCGGACGGAGTACACAAAAATACAACAATGCGACTTGTGACGTAGTACATATAAATGTTTGGTTTTTGCTAGCACCACGTTCTCAGGATAACTGGTAATCGGCCGACCTTTTCGATTACGATGGATGGCCTGTCCCAATACCAGTTCAACTCGGGATATGTGTTTATACATGTACACATAAAAAAACTGATTGCGTCAGGTGTTAAGAGATGAACGAGATAGTTACCAGCCACATTAAAAAAGGTTCAAGTCTATTCACGTCGCAAAAGCTAACAAAAGAAACGTTGCAGTCTTAGGCAAATCAGACTATATATGAATGGCAGGGGGTGGTTCAGCACAGAAGGTGAACTATAGGAAGAGAGTGAAGAAAAAAGTTGATAGCGATTTCAACAGCATCAAAAGCCCGAAACAACAGCTAGCTTTTAGGATTAAAAGCAAAACTTGAGAAGAAACACGTTTTGCTTTGACGCAACATCAGATTTGTTGCATAAGTGACGATAGGGAAACTGGTAAAGATCACACTGCGTAAGCATTCATAGGTTTGACATGTCATGTATGCACCAGATGGAATGCATTTCTCGTTTTGTTCCCATTGTGATAGATGTCACTGCTCACTTATTAGGGTTGTTCTCGGGAGACAGATATTCATAAAGTCCCATTGATGACGCTTGGAATAAATTTGGTGGAAAACATTCTAGGCCATTTATTACGATGCCTGCCAATGAGATGAGATAATCATTTTTTAAGTTGCGGTCTAATATTCGCCAAATGTCATCAGATTCCGGTGTTCACGAAAACGTTGCGAAGCCAGAAGCTGCAGTAACCGAGTAATTATGGTTTTCTTCTGACCAGAATCCGCTTTCTACCTTTGCGCGAAGCTAACACAGTGTGCGTCTTTAGCAGTGTGCAAATGTAGCTTTCACAGAACCGTAGCTTTAGAAGAACCTGGTCATCGTCTTTACGAACCTTTACTTGAAATATTTTACCTTAGTGTTAGGGGTGGGGGTTATATCCAAGTTATCCATCTACCCAGGACGTATTTCTGTCGTTCGATACTTGACGACTGAAGATATGCTTATCTGGAAAGCGATCGATCAATCCAAATTGAGGTCCAAATTAGTATTTGGTAGTTCATATTGGGAGAAGGCTGAGGAAGATCGTGCAAAGAAGTGATCATCATCTCGTACTTCTCAATAGATGTTAAAATATTGTCTGGTTCGCCGATTGTATTTGAGTAAAACCTTTGTAATCAACGTCTTTCATCTGTTACTCAGAAATGCATACCATTTCCGCAGATTAAGTTTGCCGAGTAAGCTGAGTTGTCCACAGTGCATATTTTAACGTCTGTTTGTTGTTTTCTTACTTTGGGTGAACTTTTTGTACTCATCTCATCCTGTAGAAATTGGACACTATTATCTATCAGCCCACCCATATTCTCCTCGAACAGCCACGTTTCCCGAAGCCTTTGAGCGTGAAAAAGCATTCCACGTCTGTTAAGTTGCCGTCGACCATTCCACCTGATCGAGACTGGTTTATCGAACGTCCTTGGGGTAAGAACCGCGTCGGTAGCTTATTCACTGAGGCAACCAGGTTGGCCGGATTACCCATGATCTGTCTGCGCAAACACCGGACCCGAGTCGATTGGCCGAACTCAGTTAGGGAGCCTGAACATGACCCGGTCCTCACATCCAGCAACATCGTCACGCAACAAGCCACAATCCAGGATGAAACATCCCCTGTTGCCGGAAGTATTACATCTCCGTGCTTTGGAGAGAAACAGTTGGAATCGACAGCAGAGCATTCTAACGCAAAGCGACAGAAGATCTCACATTCATCTCCGGACTGTTATTCGCTCTTCTCAAACAGTTCCTGTGATCTATTCCATGCAGTAAGCGCAGTTCCTGAAGTTTCTGTCTTATTTTTCTATTTTGTTGTTATTGAATAGATAATAGTACATTCAATTTCTCAGCACACGGGGCTCTCATAAAACGGAGTCTGCCTTGGGTCATAAAAATGAGGGATTAAGATGATGATAATGATGATGATGGTGGTGGTGATGGATGATGGACTTCAAATACACTACCACTGTTATGAGATGTTACTTACTTGTGAGTAGTAGGTAACATAGTTGGTGATTACTTTCGACGATCAAAAATTGAGACAACCATCAAGGGCAAATTGCTGTATCTCGGAGAATAATTATCGATTGCTACGTTCATTACCCGTCGTGCAGCCAAGAACTGCGATGGTATGTTTCTGACGAGATTTTCTGTGTTATTTATGCCAAATTACTGATGTCCCATCTGTGATCGTCAATAGATAACTATCCTCGACTGAGCACCGCCTTGCGAGGCACCTACTCTTTTTGGTTGGCAGTGGGACACCATTAAAAATCCAGTCACCCCGAACCTTCATGCACTTAAATACTTATGCACTTTTACGTCAGAAATACCATTTCTCCTTGTGTTATAAGCCAACAAATCCAGTGACAAATCGAGCAGAATCATTTATTGCAACAACACCGTGGATCAGAGGTAATTGGGTACACAGAACAAAAAAATTTAATCCGCAACTACTGACCAGCCGTCTAACGAAATCTCTTGATTTATGATTAGTTGGCTCGTTAGTCTTTTTGTCTCTTCGGAAGCTACAATAATAAATTCTTTTATCCACTCCCGGATTCTGTGAGAGTCCACCGATATCCTATTTATGCGCATGCCAAAGACACGACTCACAAATGTGAGTATTATCCCGTAACACTTGTAATTCATGTTTGTTTTTGTTGACCATTAGTGAGTTTCTCATACCTTGCTAAGGGGTTGAAGCCCAATTTGAACTCCGATCCACTGGTGAATAGCCCATTTCTAGTTCTTATTATCTGGGGCATTTTTAGCTTGTGAAAATACTTACTTGTTAACACAAATTTTTTGTTTTGACTTCACTCAACTATCTTTTACGGTTCTCTTATTTTTCCTCAACAGGAAACTACCAACGTTTCAGTTGAACTACCAAACTCGTCAACGACTTTTCAACAAAGTCCGACCCCTTAACAATCACCCACTGGAGACAGGGCAGTCTCTAACCGATTTTCCCAATCCTTATTCATCTTACTGACCCCGCGTTTTATCCTTTTTCTAATGTTCCGTTGCTATTTTATTATTCTTTTTTTTACTGGTATTCTTGTACAGAGATTTGTTAAGAGGGTGGGATAGTATTCTTTTTTGTCCCATCTTTTCCATGACCTAATTTGTTCGGACGACAGGTTCAATCTATCCTATTCCCCATCGATTTTTCCTCCATACAACCTTAGATGCAACTGACCTGTTTCTGTTAGGAGCTGGATTCGTTTTGTTTTTCACTAGGACTAACCGGCGCCTCGTTCTCTCACTTCATCCTCACATCAGGAATCGGTGAGCATTGTTTGTTCATTTGTTGTGACGATGCGTATTT